TGCATCCCTCTCTCTACATTTTTTTTTCTTTTTGTTTCACACCATTCATTTCCTTTAATTTTCTCTTTTCTCGATTTTATCGCACCTGTTTAGATATCGTCTGTAGATCGATAATATATTGACTCGTAGGTGGATTGGAAATCATCCTGTCGACACGGAAGGTTTTTTTTTTTTTTTTTTTCTCCTCACCGCCAGTCACATTGGATGATCGCATTCAAGAAGTAATTGACAAGTAAACTCATTTCTAGGAGGAGGGGGAAGCAGAGAACGAAAAAGAAAAAAAAAATACCTGAAGACGCCCTTTCAAGGGTGTTGAACAAGAAATCAATGATTGATTAATTTCAAAGGTTTTACTTGGGGAGTGGGGTTTGAATTTAATACCCGTTTGACGTCATATCTCCCGGTGGTTTTTTTCAATGTTCTCGGATCTGGTTTTTTCTTCTTCTCTCTCTTTTCCCTTTTTTTTTTTTTTTTTTAATAGACACCGTTTTTCCCCGTCATTTTTTTTTTTTTTTTTTTTAAAGACATTTTTTGTCTGAGATTGAGACATTTTTTTTAATTTTATTTTACTTTTTAATTCCGTCCGTTTTAATTAATAATGATTATTCCATTAACCTTTTTCTTTTTCTTCGTCGTTTTTTCAAAAAAAAAAAAAAAATGCCGACCTGTTTACTACTTTTCTTTTTGTCTGTGTAGAGTTTTTTTTTTATTGGCCTTGCCTTGCTTTCACTACAGTAGAGTATTACGAATTGAAAAGTGTCTTGAAAATAATAATATAATTCTAAATTGATATTTACTCTATTTACATTATTCGGACTATTGTCCTCATTTTTGTCGCCATATTTATTACAACGTTTCGGCCGTTGTACAATCCGGCCTTCTTCAGGTGATTGGAATGTCGAACTGAACCCTTTATTTCGCTCACTGTTCTAGTTCTACGTGCCATGTTTAATTTTGGTAAATCTTTTCATTTCTATTTCACTAAATATTTTTGTTTTCTGTATTTATTTTTGTGAGAGTCATACATCAATTGAGTAATTAAAAAAAATGTTTTTATATAAGAAACAACGTAAAAGAAAGTTTCTTTTTGATAGTAGTTATTTTACTTATTTCGAGGTTATTCGTTTTATAGTATTTTAAAATTTATTAGTTTTTTTTAGAAGGCATCTTCAAACTATATTTCTGAGATGAGGTATTATGTACACTATTTACATTATTGTCGCCATATTTATTACAACGTTTCGGCCGTTGTACGCTCTGGCCTTCTTCAGGTGGCTAATAACTGACATCCATTAGACATGGCACGTGGGTCTAGAACAGTCTACCCCAGTGAGCAAAATAAAGGGTTTAGTTCGATATTCCAACCACCTGAAAAATAACGGCCGAAACGTTCTAATAAATATAGCAACAAAGATGAGGACAATAGTCCGAATAATGTAAATAGTGTACATAATACTTCATCTCAGAAATATAGACAGATACTGAAGAATCGGATAAATATGGCAACAAAGATGAGGACAATATAGTGTATATAATACCTCATGTCAGAAATATAGACAGATACTGATATTTACACCATTTATATACACAAGTACAGTGTCTACAGGACGAACAATAACTGAGTAGACCTAAAAATATGAACTAGACAAGCTACCGCTATATTAGCGATAGCACCATTGAGTGGCATGTAAATTGGATATTGTTATTTAACTAACCACACTGAAACACTGATTTCCGAAGAAGAGCCTATGTCATGAAACCATTGTAACTAATAGCTGTTTCTCACCGGAGAATACTCCCACGAAACAATAGCCTAGTGGATTCAAATCTTGGTTCGTGAATTTGGTCTCATAGTAATTGTGAATTCAATCCCGGGTTCGGACAGTATGTGCTTGGACTCAGGGGGAACGTGGCCAGAAATAACTGAACAGTACTAAAAACAATACTTAGACAAAATAACCTTAAACATTCATTCCTTTCCATTCCCGCTCTCCTCTTTTCTTTTTTCCTCTTCGTTCTTGCTCTCCTCTTTTCCTCCTTCCTCTCCTCTTTTCCTCCTTCCTCTCCTCTTTTCCTTCTTCCTCTCCTCTTTTCCTCCTTCCTCTCCTCTTTTCCTTCTTCCTCTCCTCCTTCCTCTCCTCCTTTCCTTTTTCCTCTACGTTCTTCCTCTATGTCATTTTTCATATAAGTTCTCATTATCTGTAGACGTTGGATCCTCGTTTTTTTCTCTGATCCTTTTTCATTATGGTTTTCTATTATTTTCCGTATGTTGATGTGCTATTCTTGGTTCTGAGTAAACATATTGCGCTTTTTCCTACCAAATCCTCTTCTGCCTTATTTCAAACTCGTTGCAATTTCTCTGCAAATAAACTGTCAGCAATCCAAGAACCACAGAAATGCAAATGTAGACAAAATTAGCACAACATAGAAATGATGTCATTCAATGAATGTTCGCGTTTCACATTAAAATTTTTAATTTCGTCGCTTTTTTTGCATCCTTCGTAAATTCTTTGGCTTTTTTCTTGAACATTATTAATTTTTTCTTATTTCCGAGTTTTGATCACTTTTGTTTTTTCCTAATTTTCACTCTTATTCCTACTACGTCTGTCTTTCTTTTTCCCTCACTCTGATCATCTTTCTGTCCCCCCCCCGTGTGTGCTCGTCTTTCTGTCCCCCCTGTGTGTGCTCGTCTTTCTGCCCCCCGTGTGCTGTCTGCTCGTCTTTCGTCTGTCCCCCCCGTGTGTGCTCGTCTTTCTTTCTTTCTCTGCCCCCCCCTCGTCTTTCTTTCTTTCCTCCTCCCGTGTGTGTGCTCGTCTTTCTGCCCCCCCCGTGTGTACTCGTCTTTCTTTCTTTTTCCCCCCCCCGTGTGTGCTCGTCTTTCTTTCTCCCCCCCCTCCCCCGTGTGTGCTCGTCTTTCTTTCTTTTCCCCCTCCCCCGTGTGTGCTCGTCTTTCTTTCTTTCCCCCCCCCCCCGTGTGTGCTCCCTTTCTTTTCCCCTCCCCCGTCTTTCTTTCTTTCTTTCCCCCCCCTCCCCCGTGTGCTCGTCTTTCTTTCTTTTCCCCCTCCCCTCGTGTGTGCTCGTCTCTTTCTTTCTTTTCCCCCTTTCGTCTTTCTTTCTTTCTTTTCCCCCCCCCCCCGTGTGTGCTCGTCTTTTTCTTTCTTTTCCCCCCCCCCGTGTCCTCTCTCGTCTCATTCCTTTCCCCCCGTCTCTCCTCTGCTCGTCTCATTCCTTCCCCCATCTCATCTCATTCTCCCCCCGTCTCATCTCCTCCTCGTCTCATTCCTTCCCCCCCCCCCCTCGTCTCATTCCTTTTCCCCCCGTCTCCTCTCCTCGTCTCATTATTAGTAGTAGTACCTTTTTGTTTTCTATACTATTGTCTCTTCTCTTTTTTTTTTTTTTCATTCGTTAATTTTTTAAAAGATTGTTTTTCGTTTCTTTTCTGCTTTTTTTCTTTATCTTCTTTCGTCTCCCTCCGTTTTTTTTCTCACTCCTTCACTTCTTATCTGTCTACCCTTGTAGGTCTTTTTTTTCTGATTTTTGCCTCTTCTTCTTTTTTTTTTTTTTTTTTTTTTTTTGCATCTATTTTTATTCTCCCTTTTGTGTGACCTTGAATTATAAAAAAAATTTGCAGACTCCCATATTATCATCATCATTAATTCTTTTTCATCCCCACATCATTTACATTTTTTTTCAATCGGAAAAAAAAGGAAGAAAAGAAAGTCAGTTGACAATAACTAACCTCTTCCCATCTCCCCCCAGGGATAATTCACCCGAATGAGGCCATATTTCTTTCTTTTGCTTTGTTTTTGTTTATTTTTATTTATTTCCGCTTTTCCTTCGTTTACCTTCGTTTTTCATTCTGCTGAGCTCAGCATTTTTATTCTTGATTTCTTTTTACACAGCTAACGCTAATGAAGCTCTTTTCTTCTTTAGCCGCCATGATCAGAGTCCCCCCCCAGCACCCCCTCACAAAGTCTTTCGTTACCGACAGCCTATCTTTATTCATCATCACAATCTAGGTTTCTCCCCACTTCTGTTATGTACCCACTCTTTTCTTTCACTCTCTCTTCCTATTTTTTTTCATGTACTTTCTCTTTTATTCTCCCTTGAATTTCTTATTTCTCTCTGTCGATTTACTTCTCTTCTTTCTCTCGAACCCTTTTAACTTATTCACTTCTTTCTCACTCGTGATACTCTTCACTTATTTCTGTCTCTAGACTCTCTCCGCTCTTTTTTCTTCTCTCTTTCTCTTTCTCTCTCCGCTCTTTTTTTCTTCTCTTTCTCTCTCCGCTCTTTTTTTCTTCTCTCTCTCTCTCCGCTCTTTTTTTCTTCTCTCTCTCTCTCCGCTCTTTTTTTCTTCTCTCTTTCTCTCTCCGCTCTTTTTTTTTCTCTCTTTCTCTCTCCGCTCTTTTTTCTTCTCTCTTTCTCTCTCCGCTCTTTTTTTTTTCTCTCTCTCTCCGCTCTTTTTTTCTTCTCTCTCTCCGCTCTTTTTTTTCTTCTCTCTTTCTCTTTTTCTTCTCTCTTTCCTTCTTTTTCTTCTCTCTCTCGCTCTTTTTTTTTCTTCTCTCTCTCCGCTCTTTTTTCTTCTCTCTCTCCGCTCTTTTTTTCTTCTCTCTCTCCGCTCTTTTTTCTTCTCTCTTTCTCTTTTTTCTTCTCTCTTTCTCTCTCTCTCTCCGCTCTTTTTTTCTTCTCTCTCTCTCCGCTCTTTCTCCGCTCCTTTCTTTTCACTCCATTCTTATTCTCGCTCTTTTGATTAACTTCTATATATTTTCTTACTTTCCTTCCTCTTCGCCCATCACATCAGCACCCTCTTATTTCCTTCATTCTCCTCCTCCTCCTGTGCAGTGTGGGTGGCAGTGACATGCATATCGAAACGTGCAGTACATATGTACCCGAGTCACGTATCAATCCTTAGGCGGGGAAACTATTACTGAAGAATGTAGAATTCACGTGGAATGATAAAAAAAAAAAGACACCAGAAATACCCCGTCCCACGTACCCCTTTTCTCTACCCAAATCAGGGTAGGACTAGAAGAATGATATCTATTTGATTGTGACTTTTGCTGGATCACTTATGTTGTAGTGTTTTTTTTTTTTTTTTTAAATAACTTGAACATGTCTCCATTTACTTTGTGTGTTAAACTAAAATTTCCAACCAAACCCGATACCATTTTCTTCTATGTACCTTGGCGTTTTGCAGATCTTAGTAAATTTTGTCGTTTTGTTATTTTCCTGTTCTGCCATACATTTACATAATCTCGTTAGATAAGTCATGTGCTGTTTTCCTCTGTCCCTCAATATGTCCTGTAAGTGTCACATTTTCTAAACCCTCTTTCCTCCATGGTATTCGCAGCATTAATTCTACATTCGAAACGAGCAAATATCAGCCGCTCCCTACCGATCAACAAGGTCATAAAACTTTGTCGACTTTGATCAAACCAATAGTCCCCCCCCACCCGCATTCAATAATAGTTTTCATTTACAGAAATTCGTCCTCCTTATAGGTTATTCTTTCAGTAATGTATTCGCATTACTTTTTTTGAAGTCATGACTCTCCACAATTTCCTATCTTTTGTAGCTCTTAGTATTTTTTGTCTTTTTGCTATCTCGGCTAAACCCTATTTTGCCAGCCATTACACAAGCTCGTTAGGCAGGGGGTATGCGCTGATTTCCTCTTTCCCTCTTGCCTTCAACAGGTCATGTGAGTGTCAAATTTTCTAAGCCTGCTTTCCTCATGTGCTTTAGAAATTTCAACTGTCTCTTTCTGATGTTAAGTCCAGGGTGCGGCAGAAATAAATCCCACATAATGGTAAGACATTTGTGGCAATTGTGTCTTCATTTTACTATTGTCTTACAATTATGTGGGAGGAATTTGTGTCTCATCCTGAATAAGTGTCTTTTTTGCCCCATTTTCTCTAAAAATGTTAAGAGAATGTCCAGCATTCACTGCCATATCGAAGGATTTTCTTTGTTTCTGTAGCTTCAAAGTCGCTTCTTCATATGTGAGGAGATTGTCCAGCATTCACTGCCATATAGGATTTATATTACATAACAATTCAGAACTATTTTCTTTGTTTCTGTAAATTCAAGTCTCTTCTTCATATGTGAGGAGATTGTCCAGCATTCACTGCCATATAGGAAGACTTATATTACATAACAGTTCAGTACTCTTTTCTTTGTTTCTGTCCCTTCATGTCTCTTCATCTGTGAGGAGATTGTCCAACATTCACTTCCGTATAGGAGAACTGATATTACATAACGGTTCAGAACCTTTTTCTTTGTTTCTAACAAAATTATATCTATCGGTTTATAGAAAATCGGGTTGTGGAATTTTACAGTTTGTTCCTTCCTAATCAAAGCCTTTGATGTAGTGTTCATTTTTATGCTTGGTTTACTGAGGATGTTATCAGAATATAACATGTGTGTTGATTCTTTTAATTGTCTTGGTTTCTGTTCTGACTTCATTCCACATCAGTTGATGACTCCCCCTCCCATTTTTTCCATCCGCACACAATTAGCTATGTCTGTTTTTGTGATCTTTTCTGAAAGCTTATAACGCCAAAGATTCGCCAAAAATGAGCATGCATGATGAAAAAATGCCTGAAACTTATTAAAAATAATGTTTTATTATCAAAATGTATGTTGTTATCTGGGTAAAATACAGGAGTATATTGCTCGACCCCTCCCCCCTAAATATAACAAATGTTAGCTTAATAAGTATAAATATAAATTATCGCACATTGAGTGTTGGTGGTACTAAAGCAGTGCTTCATGTATAATAACAGAGCTAAAATTTATACTAATAATGAATATACGTTTTTTTTCTCACTGGCAGCACAATCCTGAGTTTCATGCACGATGCAATCGTCAGGTGTTGATTGAAAACGGACTGTTGTAATATATATATATATATATATATAAACCCATTCTCTCCAATATTGAGCACACTTCCCCATAAATATAGCAAATATTAAACTTGTGTGTGTGTGTGTGTGTATATATATATATATATATATATATCATAAATTTACTATTTGATATGTGTGTGTATATATAATCGGTCGGGTTATGATCCCGGCTTGAAGCAATCGGACGTCATACCACACTGAAGAGCTGTGATACAGCGAAACAGTCTGTGGATGACAATAAATATATATAACGCACGCACGGTGCGATGGATAAATTGTCTTATTTGCGCAAAAATGCAGATAACACTGACATCTCATTTTAACAGATATATTTACCAAAATTACACAATATCTTGAAATACTAGAGTAAATTTATTCAATGAATTCGCCATTGGCTTCAACCACGGCCTCTAAACGATTTCGGATTCTTCTGCAACTTGTCTAAGATGGTGAATGCTGCCATAGTTCTTGCCTTCAGTTCATCTTTGGTGTTAAAACGAGTTTTGTTGGTCTATCGCTCAACTGCTCCCTCACACATAATAATCAAGGGGTCGTTACACTCTGGGGAGTTAGATGGCCAGATGTAAGAGGTAATATACTCGCAGAAATTTTCTGACAGCCATAACTGGATTCTCCTGGTTGTGTGGCAGAGTGCAGAGTCCTGTTGCCAGATATAGGGTCCCGACAGGCCGACAACAGCACATGAGATTTGATTATAGTGGTGAAGGCTTCGTGCAGGACCCTCCTCACATTTTGAAGGTCCGAATACAAAGACCTGGTGCACTACGTGCCACAAGGTCCTCAAACGACCCTCCGCAGGTCTTGAATTTAGAGTTGTCCTTCTCCTAGACCAGTTGCCATCCAAGGCTATCGAACCCAGTCTGTCCTGCTATTTACCCATAGCTGGAGGGAGAAGAGGATTCACACCATTCCCAGAGGTATAAGTGAATGTAACTGGATTCGACTTGATTTCGAACTCAGCTCTCCGATTCCACACACACACTGTGCAAGGATCTTGTGTTCCCCTCCCAGAATCTGATACTGTCTCACCGCTCTATTACATCTCAATTTTCATTAAGAAGTTGAAAATAAATACAGGACGGTCTGAAAGTCTTGTTCTCTTCCAGACTGTATGAGCTCGTGTCAGCCATCTGAAATAGAATATTATATTATGTTGGGGGTGCCAAGACTCTCGGACCACCCTGTGCAATGTATCTAAATACAAATCTGTCCATGTCATAATAGATCGTTCCGCCTTAAATAAACCAATGTTTTATGGCATTTTTAGTCAACAACTTGAGAATTTCCTTGTTCAAAAGTTGAATAATTCTAATACATTCAACATTATGGATAAAAAAAAATTAGCGAATTGTTCATAGTGTTTTATTTTATTTTTATTTATTTATTTTTATTTTTTTTATTTATTTATTTATTTTTTGCGACTTAGTATGATCAAAACAAATTCACGGATTTAGGCGGGAAAAAGACCCCAGAATGACGTGAAAATCCTCGAAAAATTTTTAATCCTTTAATAGTCAGTTGTGCTTAGTTTAATTTGTAACGTATATACATGTAGGTAGCAAAAAAGCAAATGTTGATAATAAAGTCGGGTCACAAAGCACTGGTCGGGGGGTAATACCTACCGTCCCTGTGTATAATGTGCGTGTTTGTTGCAGAAATAAATAAACAGTGTTCTCCTCAAATTGTGGTTTATTGTTTCTAAAGAGTTACTTCCCTTGCCTAATTTTGACCAGTGGTCATGGCAGATACTTAGCTTCGAAACCAACTGCTTATATTCAGAAATCGCACGAAATTGAACGAGTTAATAGTAATGATGGATGGGAATTTTTGTGTTTATGTGACAGAAAAGCAAGAGAGGAGGTGGAATGTGGCAGAGAGTGCCTGGAGCAGAATCTACTTTGGAACATGAAGTCTCAGAGAAAATGGAAGACGTCAGAAGCTCTTTTCGTCACAAAATGGTGGGGGAGATGGGCATAAAGAGGAAGGAATGATGCTGGACTGTAAACTGTTTGAAAGTGGCTTGTTTTATAAACATGTCAATTGCTTTCAAGGGAGGTACACATAGACGCACGTAAATAGATGGAAAGGATGACTTGAAGAAAAAAAAAGAAACCTTTTATTGAAGATGGAAAAAAAAAAATATATTCAAACAGACGTAATGAAAAATGATAGCGAGGTTGGCGGTGCGCACAGAATGACGTCGGAAAATAAAACATTTGGGTTTTAAATTCTAGGGGAAAAAAATAAAACAGTTTAAATATTTTCGAAACTAAATTAAAGTGAATTATTAGTTTCAAGAATTAATAAAAATCAAAACAAAAATTAAAAGGTTCTTCTTACAAATGAAGTCCTCAAGAAAATCGACGGAGACGCTATTCTACCGAAAAATGTTCAGTCTTACTTGTTAAATGAGGAGATTCTAATGAGAACAGAATCTAGAAGAAATAAACTGGTTCATAACGGGCAGAGAGAGAGGCAATCAAACCTACAGATGGTAGATTTTTGCCATTCCACTGGCCATGTCGCGTTTTTTTTTTGTTTTTTTAGGAGGATACAACGTCTACACATAATGAGAACGGAGATGAAAAATGAAAAAAAAAAGCAGACTGAGGACGGAGAGGCAGAATGGAAAGAGAAGAGAGGGAGAAGGCAGGAGAAGAACGAAAAGGAAAGAAGAGGGGGAGAAGGCAGGGGAAGAACGAAAGGGGGAGAAGGCAGGGAAAGAACGAAAGGGGATAACGAAAGAGAGAGAAGGCAGGGGAAGAACAAAAGAGAGAAGGCAGGGGGAGAACAAAAGAGAAAGAACGAAAGAGGGGAGAAAGAAAGGGGGAGAACCAAAAAGGAAAGAAAGAGGGGAGAAGGCAGGGGAAGAACAAAAGAGAGAAGGCAGGGGGAGAACAAAAGAGAAAGAACGAAAGTGGGGGAGAACGAAAGGGGGAGAACCAAAAAGGAAAGAAGAGGGGGAGAAGGCGGGGAAGAACGAAAGGGGGAGAAGGGGGGAAGAACGAAAGGGGATAACGAAAAGAAGAAGGCAGGGGGAAGAACAAAAAGAGAAGGCAGGGGGAGGAAAGAACGAAAGTGGGGGGGAAAGGGGAGAACCGTTAAAAAGGAAAGAAGAGGGGGAGGGCAGGGGAAGAACCGAAGGCAAAGGAAAGGGGGAGAACGAAGGGGGGAGACCGAAAAGGAAAGAAGAGACAAAGAACAAACAGGAATGAATGTCTAAAGTTATCTTGTCTAGTTCTCGTTTTTAGTACCGACTCAGTTATTGCTCGCTCGTTTTCACTGAGTCCAAGTCCACACTCGCCGGCTCAGGGTTTGAACTCCAAATTACTATGTCACTAAATCCACGAACCAATCCACTAGGCTATTAGTCCGGATATAAACCTAAATAAGAGCGGAGGGCACAACAGCCAAGACTTAGTCCTCGACAGCAACAAAGATGAGGCCAATAGTCCGATTGTACATTGTGCAAATAACTCTTCATATAAAAAATGCTGACACAAATTAGTTCGCTTTCGTTGATCTTTTACTGTTGTCCGACATATTTATTTTGTACAGTCATTGTCTGCTGAAAATAAAAAAAAAATGACCCTTGTCTGAAAGATCAACCTATGGAAATGAAAAATAGAAAACTTTCTACTGTCCCCCTGCTCCTTAGCTTAGTGTATCGATTGTAGTTTGTAGTGAATGGCCTAATTGAATCCCTCTTTCTTGCACACATATTCTTGAGGGTAAAATTCTGTCCACTTAACCAGCGTCCTCATAAATGCCGCGGCTCTTTGATCTTTAATATGCGGCTCGTGGAAACATTGACTGGGCTCTTTTTTTACATCACAGTTAATATAAAAGGTAAATAAGAAACATTTCAAGCTCTAAAATTATTTATTGGGTAAAAATTGTGACCCCACTGGATTAAAACATAAGTATAATGTTAATGTTTATGTAACAAAAACGTATGTGTAAATTTTGTTTGTCTTGCGGTCCTCAAACGTAAAGAATAGTAATTCTTTGAAAGGATTTTTTATCCGCCATTATTCCTTATGACTTGGCAAACCGCGGATCGCGAGCCACATGCGTCTCTATTTGACCTTTTAATATGCTTCCCATGGAAATATGTTGGCTGATCTTTTTTCATCGCAGTTAATATAAAAGGTAAATAAAAAAAAATTTCAAACTTTATAATTATTTACTGGGTATGAATTGAGGCCCCATTGGGCTAAAACGCAGGCTTAATGTTCATGGTTAGTAAAAATATGTAAGAATTTAAATCCTTATTTTAATGCAAGATTTGAGCGAGGCATTGTTCTTTAGTGTTGAGGGAAGGAATGGTGGTAAAAAGCAATTTTTGACTTGGCTCATGTCTACGCACTTAGATTCCCCAATTTAAAATGGTCTTGTACCATATTCTATAACTCTGGGCTGGGGGTGTAAATTACTACTTGTTGTATCTGTTTTTCTCTCTACTGTTTTTCTGCCTTTAGTTTTGTAATATAAAAGATATCTGCATATATATTTGATTCAACCTTTTATTTTATTTTTAATTTATTATTTATATGTATATTTGTAAATGAATGTTGTTTTCATCTGGCCAGTTACATTAAAGTAAAAAAAATATCTTTGCTAACAAAAAAAAATGTGAACTAGTCAATTATATTCATGACTACTTCATTTTATTTAAAAAAAAATTTAAATTGTTCAGTTTTAATTTCGTGTTCCTGTTAGTTGAATCATCGTTTTATTAGCGTCTTGGCATTGCAGTAAAAATTTATTTCGAAGAAAACATTCAGTTTTGGGCAGGCAATGAGGAGGTTAAAGTTTGGTGGATTTTGAGATGACAGAGGAATAGATGGGTAAAAAAAATGAGAGAGAGAGATTGGACGTGGTGGGAGCTAAATTCTGGGTAATTAGCTTAAAAGCCACTTGACTGACAAGTTTTCAGCTAGTCCATGTGAAAGGTCGAAATGATGATTTGATCTTCAGTAAAAAGATTGTTAATTTTAATTATATATATATATATATATATATATATATATATATATATATATATATTAAAATTGTAAAATTCTCGTTATTTTTTTCATATCCCCAGTGTTGTCTCGGAAACCTACCCCCCCTCTTGAAGATGAACTTGTCTGCGTCTGTGAACAGAGACTTTAAATAGTGGCATGAGTTGACATGAGAAGAGAGATAGACAGAGACGTTCTTAGCTGAGCTAGTTATTGACTACTCAGGCGATTTCTGTATCTTTTTACCAACCTATTAAAACCCTTTTTATTGTTACGTGTTATTTGGCGTTTGTCTCTACTAACCCCAAATCAACATCATATCACCCAGAAATAAATAAATCATTATAACGCCAAACGAAGTTTTTTGTATGAAATTGTAACAAGTCATCAGGTGGTTAACGTATTTGCGACCCTTCGTTGTTATTGCTCGTCTTAGCAGTGTAAAGCCAAGACAAGTGTTGATTTTCTTTGGATCCGGAGGAGGGTGGGGGACACAAAGAATTTTTCTCCAATTTCTCACTTGGATCAACTAGATATATATTTTATACTGTTACACAAAAATGAACATTGAATCGGCTTACCTGACGGACACAAAGTAAGGGTTTAAATTAGCACTGAATTTAAATTAAAAAGAAAGTAATGGAATTAGTTCTAGTTGAGAAATGTCTCACTAAATGGGTTAAACAATGTAATTCGATTCAACTAACCAAGCAGACACGGTGTTTAGTTTAGCATTTCAATTTCATTGTAAATTGAATCCGTTATTAAAGACTGTAAAATTTGCAATTATCAAAAACATCCTCAAGTAGGTACCTCCACTTAGTTTCGATACCTAAGGTTTAAAATAATGTTTTAAAAATGAAAAAGCATTCTTGAAACTTTAATTTTAGCTTTAATTGAAAGCTAAATGATTAAATTTACAATTTCCAGTGAGCAAAATACTCTAGTGTATTTCAAATAGAAATTATATTGATTTGGAATTTCAACTTTTTGGTCGCTTTTAGAAAATCGATAAAAATCTGTAAACAAAAGTTAATTCTCGATTTTGAAAATCTTCCAAAAATAAAATATACTTTTCTGAAACGTTGAGGCACATAAGCTGATTTAAAGTATTATTAATTTGATTTTAAAAAGATATTTACTTTAAGTATTAAAAAAAGCAGAGAAATGTACTTTTAAAACAAACGGTAGCGGTAATTACGTGCTTCTCACTTGTCACTCGTAGATCACTTAACAAGTGATGATTAAATCTGTCAACACCTTTACTGTTGTTCCATTGAGACTTTATCTGTTAAAACATAATTTAAGAAAATGACGGGCGAGCACCATTTTTATATAATTTTAAAGTACTCAGTAATCTTAATGTTGGAGAATATTATCCGGAATCTAATTTTAAGACTGTTGAATTTAAATTTACTATAGTCACCGCTCTTATTTTCTGATTATGTCGAGTTTGGTCGACTATACTTTCAAACAGGGGCAAGTTTTGTAATACTTTATATACATAATTTTTTTTTTTTTTTTTTTTTTTTTAATATTGGGTGACTTTTATTGAGTTTTTCAATTTTTGATTCGTAAATATAGCTTTCACTTATTAACAATATCATCTAACCGGATGGAAGTAATGCAGAATTTTAAACGATTTATAATATTATGATTATAATTTCAAGAAATGAAAACAATTCTTGTAAAAATTCATAATTCATCGAATTTTTTTTTTAAGACAATAGTGTCCGTAATAAATTTTATTTATAGAAGTAATTAAAAACTTTTCTAATTAAATAATGTCATAGTTTTATTATATTTTTTATTTTACGATTCAGAGCATATTTTTGGTAACTGTGTCTCATGTTTTACAAAAAAAAAAAAAATGATTTAAATTCTCCAGTGAATCCTGCTTTTAGCTAATAAAACAAATTTTGAGATTGCAATTTAATTTCTTGAAATTAAGTTGAAGGTAACATGTTAAAAAAAAAAAAAATTACCAAGATTTTCTAAAAAAAAAAAAAAAAAAAAATTCAAAATAATTTCATTTGTGAATAAGTCCTGAGAGTTCCATTAAAATCCGACAATTATTTGTTTTTTGCAAGAATTTTCAAACCAATGTGCTTTTTCACCAGAAAAAAAAAGGCGCTAAAACACTAATTGTAAATATTATGTCAACAGCTGGCGTAAAAACAAAAACAAACTAACAAGAATTTCGAAAGTGCTTGGAAGGATTAAAAAAATTAATAAAATAATAAAAAAATACTATGATCTTTCCTTTTAATGATACCATAAACATTTTGACGATAAAAATTTGTTTTTATTAAGTTTGGGGCCTTTTTTCATCATGGCATGCTATTTTTTTCAGCTAGCAAATGGAGGTATCTATACCTCAAGTGTCCCATTAGCAACGGTAGAAAATTTGATCGTAGCTGTAGTAGTTTTTGAGTTATGTGAAGACGCATACTGACGAAAAAATACATTTGGGGAATTATACTAACCTATGATTGATGTTAGAAGGAAGACGTGAAAGATTGATTTGCTTTTTGGTTTTTGCAGGTTAATTAAAACCAGAAAATATTTAGATTGTAAGAGTTTTTAGGAGATAATGATTTATTAATACATATCCTACTAATTAACCCATAGCTAGGAGGAAGTTTGATTCCTCTACTTTTGTAAAGATATTTGTGCGTAAGAAAAGCCAACTGGAATTGGAACACTGCTCTTCAATTTCCTATTTCGAGCCATTATCCATTACCCCACCTGCACATCTGAGATTAAAGCACCTGGTATTCTTAAGCAGTCGCCCATCTGGAAGAGTGAAATAATGAATTAAGAAAGAAGTGAATGAGGAAAAAAAATCAAGGTAATGACGAGAGACACACAAGGAAATAAAGCAATAAGAACGAAGTAGAGAATGATGAAGAAATTCAGAGTGAATGATTTCAAGGTACCGGAGAAATGAATGAAGAAACGAAAGAAGGGAAAGAAAGAGAAAAAGGGAAAGCAAATGACTATAGGAATGCATTAGAAATGATTTGAATAAGCTCTTTATGGAACCTGAAAAAGATATCCAAACTTTCATTCCCTCTAATGATACCAAAATGATTTTACTATAGGATTTTACTATAGGAATGCATTAGAAATGATTTGAATATTAGCTCTAGGATTTTATGGAACCTGAATATTATGGCTAGGATTTATGAAAGAAATTCCATCCAAACTGATTTCATTCCTCTGGAATGATTCCATATCATATCTAGTGATATAGCAAATACTAAAAGCATCTATAGAAATTCATTGCAAATGATTTTACTATAGGAATGCATTAGAAATGATTTGAATACTAGCTCTTTATGGAACCTGGAATATTATGGCTAGGATTTATGAAATAAATCCATCCAAACTTTCATTCCCTCTAATGATTCCATATCTAGTGATATAGCAAATACTAAAAGCATCTATAGAAATTCATTTCAAATGATTTTACTATAGGAATGCATTAGAAATGATTTGAATACTAGCTCTTTATGGAACCTGGAATATTATGGCTAGGATTTATGAAACAAATCCATCTAAACTTTCATTCCCTCTAATGATTCCATATCTAGTGATATAGCAAATACTAAAAGCATCTATAGAAATTCATTGGAAATGATTTTACTATAGGAATGCATTAGAAATGATTTGAATACTAGCTCTTTATGGAACCTGGAATATTATGGCTAGGATTTATGAAACAAATCCATCTAAACTTTCATTCCCTCTAATGATTCCATATCTAGTGACGGGGCAAATTCTGGAGGTAGCAGAAAAAAAAACTAAACCGATATTACGGCTATTATAATTGTTGTTATTCTTAATTATGGTCAAATTCAATTGATTTCATCTTTGAAACGAAAAAGTCATTTTCCTGTCTTTCGCCAATCGCTGCGTTTTTTTTTCCTCTCGTAGAAATGCAAAAATATGATCCATGTATTTGGTTGAATTCTATAATTTTATTTTATCAAACGCGAATATATACGGTAAATAGACGTGAAAAGTCTAAAGATATCAAAATGAGAGAGGATAATGTTTGGAAAGGGGGGGAAAAAGGACCAAAAATGTGTGAGAGAGGGAGAGAAAAAGAAATCTGTGACCCCCCCCGCTTCCAAACAGGTGTAAAAAAAAAAAAAAAAATTAAAAATTAAAAAAAATATCTGCAAACAATATTATATTGTTTTAATTGAATTTATTTTTCTATTTTTGGTGGAGTATGGGGCTTATGGTGAGGAACCCCCCAACCCAACGACCTGATCCCCAATCATCTCTCTCTCTCTCTCTCCCTTATTTATCCTCTCATCTCATTGTATTTTGTTTGTATTTCTTTCCCACCCCCAACGTAGTGTTTCTCTCCTTCCACCCCGTCTGAACAGTCTTTCTCTCGGTGTACCCACTTCGGATTTTTTTTCTTTCCTCTTATACCCCCTCCCCCTCGTCCCCACCTACCTCACTAATAATAGACGAAAGAAATAGATTTGTCCACTATGATAAATCCATTTGTTCGCTTGGGTCACGGTGACATTTTTTTTTTCTTTTCGTATTTCTTTATTTCTTTATATTTTATTTTATTTTTTTAAGTTGTAGTGAGCATCATTTTTTTTTTCTGGTTGAATGTGGGGGCGAAGGGAGGGGGTGAAATATACGGGCAGCGATGCATGTGTGCATTTACGCACGTGTTTTGAAGGTGGTGGTCTGTGTGGTACTGACTGCATTTTTATTTTTTATGCTTTTTCTTTTTAACTCTCGACCCCCCCCCCAACCTCTGCCCATTTTCACTAAAATAATCTTGTACACGTGTAGGTGTTTTCGTCAAAAACAATATAGCTTTTTTAATTTTTTTTTTGTTCTTTAAGGCTTACCAACCTTTTGCCGGTTATTTAAAGCCAGAATGCATTTTTAGATTGAAAGAATATTTATTTATTTTTTTAGATAATAATGAATTACAGATACAAGTCTTACTAATTAACCTCTAGTCAGTGAGCGGATGAGATAGATTCATACTTTTACCAAACGTATTTGCACATCCGTGAATATAACGAACCTGACTGGTATTGAACACGGCTCTTCGATTTCCAATTCGGAGCCGTTATCTGTTACACTAGCTGAACATTCAAATTTACAGCACTTGGTATTCCTTAGCGGTCACCCATTTAGGTAATAACCAGGCTCGACGTTGCTTAACTTCGGTGATCGTACGAGAACCGGTATTTCAACGTGATATGGCCATATAAGCTGTTGTGTTGGTGTCACGGATGTGCGGGTGGTGTAACTTACCTATACGGAAAGGAGAATCGGTTATATAGCCTTGAATGGCAGCCAGTCTTGCAAAAGGATGATTCTGAATTGAAAACCCGAGCAGGAGGCAACGGAAAACCACTTCCCCATACTTTCCAAGATGTCGTAACAATTCACGTGTCATGTTTAATGGATGTCAGTTACCAGTTATCTCCTGTTAATTCCCCACACATGGCACAGTGGATAAAGGCGTTGGTTAGATCCAGTGACAGGACCCAAACAGTGTGACCTCAATACCCGGTTAAGGCAGTGGAGAACTTGGAGAACATGGCACGTGGAACTAGAACAGCCTACCCCAGTGAGCGAAATAAAGGGTTCAGTTCGACATTCCAATCACTTGAAAAAGGCCGGAGTGTACAACGGCCGAAACGTTGTAATAAATATGGCGACAAAGATTCGGACAATAGTCCGAATAATGTAAATGATGTACATAATACCTCATCTCAGAAATATAGACAGATAACAGAAATAATTGTTTACTTCTTGAGAGGACAACACGACCACGAGACTCTTAACCCATTAAGGTCGTAGGGGCAGCACACGTACTGCAGTAGCAGTGGTGTTTCCTCGGCTCGATAGCCTAACTCACTCCAAGCTGGTTTTGAATTCAGTTTTTCTTGTTCATAGACCGGTTGGCACCCAAGGTTATAGGACCCAGTCTGTCCCACTATTTTACCCATAACTGGGGAGTTGGAAAGACAGAGATTCATGCATGTCCCAAGGGTATTAGCACGTAAGTGAATGTAATGAATACGAACTCGGAAAATTACTGTTTACGTTTGAATACGAACCTGAGCAGGTATGGAAATTTCAAAGAATTTAATACAAGAAAGATTTCGTTTAAAGGCAAACTTTGCTTGATCGACGAGGCTGCTCCGTGGTCGTGTCAGTTAAGGCACATCAGATTTAATGACGTTTTCCTCCAGGGGGCGCAGGTTCGAATCCTGCCGGATACCGCATATTTTTCTTTAATGTGATTTCTCGAATATTCAAGCCGGTAGACATGGAGCGTATACTCAGATATGATTATCCACTAAAAATATCGTTGAAAGTGATAGATTTTCATGAATATTCTGTAGTTTTATAATGTTTTGGAAAATACAAATGTATTCCAGGTTTTTCTTTTTTTTTTTTTTTTTTTACTTAGCTCTTGTTTAAATAATTGTTACAGTTAATGCTTAAATGGCAGAATATTTGTTTATATGTCATCGCCTGCCCATTATTTTGTTTTTTCTTATTTAGTAGCTAATAGCTTCTTTTTTTTTTTTTTTTTTACTTGGGTTGTTGTTTTATATATATATATATATATATATATATATATAGTGAAAACTGCTTGCCTTAAATGTCGTTTCTTCCAGAATTTAACGAACTGACAGCATTTCTGGCTATATATATATATATATATATATATATATATATATAGTGAAAACTGCTTGCCTTAAATGTCGTTTCTTTCAGAATTCCACGAACTGACAGCATTTCTGGCTATATATATATATATATAGTGAAAACTGCTTGCCTTAAATGTCGTTTCTTTCAGAATTCCACGAACTGACAGCATTTCTGGCTATATATATATATATATATATATATATATATATATATATATAGTGAAAACTTTGCCTTAAATGTCGTTTCTTTCAGAATTCCACGAACTGATAGCATTTCTGGCTATATATATATATATATATATATATATATATGACTTAGTTAATCTAGACACATCCACAAGTATATTTTTTAATAATCTGCCCCTCCTTTGACTTCCTAAAAGAGGTACAGTTTTGTTTTCAAATTTCCCTAATAAATTGTTTTTTATCAAGTTATCTACCATCGCCTGAGGAGGAACTATTATACTTCTGAAGCATGTGAGCTTTTGTGTAGCGATGTAAAATGTTTTTATTGTAATGTATCATATATATATGTGTGTGTGTGGGGGAGAAACGGTGTCCCCAAAAATGTACTCAATCTTTAAATGACAATAGCAGCTGCATAGTATTACTTGACTTGCAAACAAGATCAATGGTTAAAATTAAGAAATATTAATGTTTAAAATTAAGAAATTCTCTATTAGGCTTGTCTGATTAAATAAATGACAGACATTATGCTTATTTTTAATAAAATCTTTTCATGCTCACGGATAACCTTCTGTGTATCGCAATTAAATGATGTGAGAAATGTGCTATAATTATGAAAATCGTTTTTATTTTCCATTTACTTGCACCCCTGAACCACACCCAGTTTTTTTATTACTACGTACCCCCCCCCCCGGAAGATGATCTCGGTAGAAGATCAAAAGTACTTGGAAAATGGAAAATAAAAACGATTTTCGTAGTTATAGCACATTTCTCACATCAATTAATTGCAATACATGGAAAGTTATTCGTGAGTATGAACGGATTATGTTAAAAATAAGCATAATGTCTGTAGTTTATTTAATCAGGCACACACACACACAATTTATTCGAAAATTATGGCATAAATATGTTATAATTTTTGAATAAATTATATTTGCTCTACTCTGTATTGAGCACTCTTTTAAGTATTTTTAGTATCTTTGGGGGTGTTATTGGAATTTATACCGTATACACTAATCCTATACTTGTGTGTGTATATATATATATATATATATATATATATGAATTAATGGATTTTATTTCTAATCCGACATTTTAATACTTCATATGATATTATAGTGGACATTCCGTATATGAAATATACCATAATGTGTTTCAAATACGGAGTATCCACTATATATTTATGCATGCGTAGGCATAGATTTATGCATATTCTGCATAACTGAAAATATATCCACGCACATTATTAAACATATAATGACATTAATATTAAAAAAAAAAAATACTTACCTCGAGATTCCTTTTTCGAAGTTTCCCGTTTCGGATTGGGTTTCCGGTTCCTTCTAAATTCTACTTCAACACTATACTTGTAATATCTCTGCCAAAATACTCTGAAATTAATATTATTAGTGATGTTCCGGTTTCTTCTAAAGACTTTTCCCTCCTTTTTTTTTCACTTCCATCTCCCCCCCCTTGCATCTTAGTAGCGTTATCGCTTTGCTTGCGGTGAATTGATTGAAAAAATAAAATATTTACCGTTATGTTCACAGCGACATACATCGACAGATGCTTATCTGAAGATGTCTATAACGCTTTTCATTCCCCTGCCACCCAATTATTCTCTTGTGTACGCACATTTATTTCATGAGTATTAGCCTATATATGCATGGCTTATATGTATGTATGTATCCTTTCAATATTTTACCTAGGCAACTGACTTTCACGTCAGACGCCTCGTCGCCAGTGTTACAATCTTTATCAAATCTAGACTTGAGTTGAAAGAAAGAATTGACCAACCCATTTGCAGCAACGCGTGTAACACAGGTGATTCCGCAATTTACATGTGAACCTTCTCGCTGTTATAATGTTCGTAGTAACTGACGATTATTGCGGTGAGGATTTATTTTTGATCGGATGCTGATGGAATTAGTCCGAGACTCATACCTAATGTTTATAGTTTACCTTATACTTTTATATTCGATGTAAATAATGTCTTTTTAGGATATAGGCGACCATGGTTCTCCTTAGCTACCTTTTTTTTCATATCTGAATTGCCAGGGAAAATAGAGTATTTCATGCTTCATCTTCAAGCCATAAAGATTGCCATGAACATTGCGTTTAAGCATGAAACACACTGTCGCCGCTGGGCATTGACCTCAACGTCCACTTTTATATTTATATATACTCTATCTCTAATATTGAGCATTTTAACTCATAAATATAGTATACCTTAAAATTTATATATATTTTTGTCATATATAATCATTTCACCTTAAGCAAGGCAATAAAGCCACTAAGACACAAGGATTTACTGCTTAAGGAAGAATGACAAAAAAAAAAAAAAAAAAAGACATTATTATGGAGCGATAAAAATAAAAGTACAGGAATTAAGAACGATTGACATTATATTTAAATTTTTGTTTGTCTAATCCACCCGGCACAGCCTTTTATATAAAAGTGTTTATATAATGTTCACTATTAATGAAAAAATTTCAATATAAATCTTAATTTAATGCGAGATTTAGGGAAGCCGTTGTTCTTCACGGGCGACCGATGGAACAATAGAAAGGAGTTAATGAAATTTCAGGTCACATAAGATTACAGAAAAAAATGTGTAAGCCTTTTAGCTTTCAAATATCTCAAGTTTATCATATGAGGTTCCTACATTAAGGACATTTAGCAACCTTTATTCATCCGGTCTATGGATTGTGATAGCGACGGCTTACATCACGTGAATTTTCTACTATGTCAGTGTCGGTTAAACTTAGTCGAACCATAATACCTTTTAGTATATATGATTTTTTTTTTTTAAATTTTATCACCCTATGCAAAGCAGTAACGCCACTAAGACACAAGGGGTTCCATGGTGTAGAAGAATTTGGATCAGAAACATTAATACTGAGTGGGAAGAGGAAAGAGTAATCAGGAGGACAGTAGATGGCGATTGACACCGCATTTAAAGTTGGTCGGAAATCATGGAACCGAAAGGGAGTTCCACAAATGAGAAGTGCGAGAAAAGAAACTGTTAACATAGAATTTACGGCCACATCTATTTAGCTCGACTGTAAATTGATGAGATTTTATCGCCAGTCTTGCACGGCTCTTAAATACATGAAGTCTAGGTACCATAGCGAATAGCTCATACGAACAATTACCATGAAAGTATTTATAGAAAAGGCAAAGGGAGGTAACCTTACGGTGGTGGGAAAGTGACTGAAGCCGAACCGCCAGATTAGGAATCATAATATTGCTGATTCTGCTTTGGATTTTATCAAGGAGCTCATGTTAAATAGAAGGGGGCACCGGACCATATGCGACAGCAATACTCAAAGCATGGATTAATAGTAGACTTATAG